CCCCTCCCCCCATTCCTCGACCTCGTATAAGAGTAACTCTGTACAAGCTTCGCTGTTCGTTATCGCTTTCCGTGCATTAAATTTAAAAAAAAATCTCGGGAAAGGATCTCTCGCGGAACGGGAGAAAAAAGTCTCAAATTTCTAATCTTAAAAAACGAGAGAATCTAATTAAAGAATATTCCCCAAATTGCCTGTCCGAGAAGATATCCCACCGAGATTTTAAAAAAAAAAAAAAAAATAAAATTTCTCCGACGAAGGTCCGTATATTTTCTCTCCCTTTTTTCTTCTTCTTTTCTTTTTCTTCTTCTTTACTCACCAATCTGTCAAATCAAGCCCGATCTCGTTCTTCCAATCCTCCGTCTTCTTCGCTCTTCTTCCTTTCTTCCTTCTTCTTCTCTCTCTCTCTCTCTCTCTCTCTTCCAAGAAGCGGTTCCTCAAAAGAAACCCGCTCCACCTTCGCCACCCTCTCTTCTTCTTCTTCCTCTTTTTCTTCCACGTCTATCCTGAACGGTCCTCACCACCATAACACAATCCTTCTCACTGATATATCGCGACACCCTTCATCTATTTATCGCGATTATTGCCTATACAGAATCGACCTAAGACCTAAGACCTGTACCGTTCCAACATTCCATCGCGGTCACCCAAGAATGGCTTCATGCTTCTTCACACCGGTATCTACATCTTCACACTTTCTTACTTCTTGCTTCTTTCTTCTTTCTTTTTTTTTCCTTTTTCCAACGATAAAGGTCGAACTTTTCGAGTTTGTTCGGAAAAAAAAAACAAAAAAAAAAAAGAAAACAAAAACAACACGTAAAAATCTAGTAAAAATTATTGTAAAATTGGAAAAATTGGACGAATTCACTTTTTCAAGCTCGTTTCCTCCCACTTTTGTTTCTCTCCACTTTTTTCCACGATTGATCACGATCTAACCGAGGATCTTTCCGAGGAAGAAGGAAGATCCACACGATGGAGGGCCTGCACCATGTCTATCCTCTCGTCTCGAGGGGCCCCGGTCGCCTGCTCGTCGTTACCCAGCCCGTCCGCTACGTCGGCTCTCACTTTCTCCGCCGAGTAGTTTCATTTCGGTACGTAAAACTCTCTCGCGTGTCCCCCACCAGATCGCACACCGGCTGCTCGACTCTTCTCTCTGCTCGAACGGGAAAATTCGATCGATCGATCGGTCGATCGATCGAAGGGATATGATCGTCTTTTCCTCTTCTCCCTCGTGCGACCGCCAAGCGATCTTGCTTCTAAACACTCGTTGCTCGAAATCGAAGCTTTGACAATAGACTTTTCGGCGCGAAATTTGTCGGTTTTTTTTTTAAAAGGAAGATAAGAGGGCGGAAGAAAAATTGGAGGAATTGGAAATGTTGGTCGAATAATGTTTTGCCACCTCTTAAGGGATCCTCCTCCTCCTCCTCCTCCTCCTCCTTTCGAAGAGAGGAGATACACGTGAGAAGAAAGTTTCGAGTCGCGCGGGTGGGAAAGTTTCTCGTTAAATTGACAACGGCATAAATAAACGAGACGCGCGATTAAACGACCCAATCTTCTCCTCTCGTTAGACATTTTCTTCGATTTTCTCGCGCGAGATGAAATTCTGTTTGAAATTCGAAAACTCCGCACGAGATGCAATGGTTCGACTCGATCCTCCGACAAAGAGAACTGCAACTTCTTCTTCTTCTTCTTCTTCTTCTTCTTTTCCACGAACCCGATCTCCAAATCGTCCTTCGCAATCGTCAATCGTGCAATCTCGAACCTTTCTTCCTTTCTTCGTTTCGACGCTGATTTTACGGGCGGTTTGCTCGTTCCGTGAGCCGGTTAGGAAGTAATTCCGGGCAATTAACTTTGGACCATTAATTCTGGAGAAAACAAAAAAAAAAAAAAAAAAAATAAACGCCGACCATTGTGCCTTCGAAGAAGCACGAAGAGAAGAGAAGATCGATCGAGCTGCTCATCGTATGAAAACCAGCAGAAGGAACATTTGCAAAAATCTGTAAGAAATCGAGAAGAAGAAGAAGAAGAAGAAGAAGAAGAAGTCGATCTATCCGATCGATCCGACGATTACGAGGAATTGGAAAGTGAACTTCTTCGACGTAGCATAAACTTGATAAACTTCTCATAACGCGTAATAATTGCGTTCGATTGAAATTCTTCTTAATCGCGATTTAACGTAAATCACGATGTTGCGAAAAGGAGGTTAAAAAAATAAATCGAAGCGGATTCCGGATTATTTACATCGACGAATTATTATTTCTACAAAAGAGAGGAGAAAGTGGACGGAAGAGGGGAAACGTTTTCGACGATTCTCCGCCTTCTAAATCTCTCGAGATCCAAAATCACCCGTCTCATCGTCGTCATCTCGATACTCGAGAAATCTAGTTTTGAGAAAGTTGGAGCCACGTATCTTGCTTTCGTGTTCTATGCGATGATCTCTCGCGTATACAGGAGTGCTAGCGAGCGAGCAATCGCGAAAGGAAAAACGGATTTTTAATTCGGATCTCGAAGTGGAGGCGACGTTGTTTGCAATCTATATGGAATTTTGTTGTTTCATCGTCGGATCACGAATCGAAGCTCGTTTATTTAGAGACTTACGTATATATATAACACGTCATTTCTGCTCGCGTAATATCCTGGTGTAAATATTTTCTCGCGCAACACTCTCGAAACGTTCACATCCGTTTTGATGACGCGGCCGCTCAAGGATCCAAAAGGTATGAGATACGAATTCGTGGAATTTCTATTATTCGATAATTGTTCTTTTAATCGTCCACTCTGATTCCA